CTATGTAGCCATCTAATTCCTATTTATTTTTAAGGAGCCCTAAAATAAAATGTGATCAAAAACACATTTTACCCCACTTGTTTTAATGTTGCTGTCTGATAGGAATTATTCTATGAAACATCTCTTTCTTCAAAAGTTTTTCCTTGTGGTTCAGTGATTCAACAAGCACAATATGAAGAAATATTAAACTTAAAGTTCTTATATAAGAAAGAGTGTAAGTGTACAGTACAAAAGCAGAGCTTATGACAAAAAGTAAAGACATCAATGTGAATCGCTTGACTTTTGAGCTAACAGTAAGGGCCCAGTTGCCTGGTTTTTGAAAGTTGAAATATTTACAATGAATGCTTCTTAATTAGATCATAGTAACATCAATTTAAACTTATATTTGTCTGAAGCTTCATGAAAAGACCCATCCATTGTTAAAACAAATAAGCTATTGAAACAGAAAAAACAACATTGGCTAGGTTTCACTTCAGGTATAGAAAAACTACAAAACTGGAGATTTACTGAAGTGTCAACAACATGCCACAATCCTAGAACAGGCTAGAGGTGAATCTTCCTCTTCCAATTCTTCTCTTTTTTTGTTATGTAAGTAACAGTACACTATCAATGTTCCAAATTGTCAAATGTAATATGTGCAAGGGAAGCTGGCAAAGGTATCATTAAAATAAACAGAAACAAATGGGGGCATTTAATTAAGCTACAGTATAATGGATCTGAGAAAAAATAATAATGCTTGAAAAACATTGTACACTTTAAAAGGTTGCAAATTACTTTCAGCTGCTTGCTTTTCAGTATAAATACATAAAATGATGAACATTTTGAATTTCTTCAACTCTGAACATCTGTGCAACTGAACAACTTTTTTAAGTTGTCTGAAGGATGTATCTGGATAGAACTTCATACTGTAGTGTCTTGACAGACATAATTTCTCATGTTTTTTTTTCCTTCTTCGGTTTAGTAGCAGGCAGTACAGTAAGCTTCTTAAACACCTTTTTAACCTAGCTTTAATTTCCATTACTCCTGTATCATCTATGACAATATTAACATATTCTGCCTTTCAACCAATATTTCACACTTCCACTGGAGAAATTCAGTTCTCTTTAGCTCTCTCTCAGCCCTTATTCTTTCATGATCTGATCAAGAACATCATCTAAAAAAATAGCAAAATCTTTACTCTGATAGGCAAGCCTTTACATCTTTCTACATCTAGATTTTAAATTGCTAACAGACCATGCTTGCCCACTTTTTTTCAAATGATGAACTCAAGGGTATTTCCAAACTGAAACAATTACCTACAGCACAAAAAACAGAATGTGCAATAGTATATTTCAATATAAAATTTTTAGTTGATTAGGGGAATGTTGGCTAAAACATCAGAGTATTTTTTTAATGTAGGAATCCATAATGTATTGCCTTTAAGACTGAGGTTTGTGCATTTTTAAAGTAAAAATGAAATAAATTGTTTTACATTTGTAATAAAATCCAGTGTAACCACTGGGATTAGGTATGTCGTTCCAGGACATATTGCAATTTGAATGATTAATAGTATAGATAAAAATTATGCAATAAATACAAATCACAGAAAATAGCACATGCTTTAGAAAGTAGCAGTTCATAGAATGTGTGTGGCTGCAAGGAAAATCTTAATGATCAAAATAAACACAATTACAAGAGACGTGTCTGGCCAGGCTTCCAAGTCCAAAGGGAGGTTTTTGGTAGACCACTAAGCAGGCACATTCTTACTACACCACAACAATTATGATCCCCAAGGAACAAAGTTTTTTTTTTTACAAATGTTAATGATCTAAAACAGTTCGTGCAGGACTAAGTAGCCTTGTTTTTAATTTACTGTAGTCTGCAATTCAAACAATTAACATATGTAAAGAATTAAAACTGGTAAAGCTTTTTGCATGGAAGTAAATAAATCATGTTAATTTTGTCTATTTGTGCATTCATTCCTTCACTGATGTGAACTTTGATATATTGAATGCTTGAATGTACATTGTTGTCAACAGGTGTTTGAAAATCATTTAAGTACCAAAAACAAAACAAAAAGGTAAATTCCTTCAAAAGCCATGAATTGTAGCAATGTCATTTTAATATTTATGCACATATTAGTCTAGGTCTAGTTTAAAAGTATGTTCCTAATCATAGGACCTACCACTAAAATATAAGAGAGGGAGCAGAGGATGTTTACAACTAACTTTGCTTACTGTAATCGCATGTCTAATAAATTATATTAAAGTTTTCAGGTTTATCATGCAAATCATTACTTCAGTATTGTAGAGAAAGTAAAACTAAAGGTAAGTATTCATTACACACTTCCTATATTAAGATACAACAATTAGTTCATACACATTGACCTAGTGACAAACTATTTGCCTAAGAATGCACTTGATGGAAAGTAATCTTAATCATGGAATAATAACCTGTGTGATAATTAAGTTTCCTGTACAGTGTACACTTATTCTCTTGTAAAAGTGTGATTCACATCTTAGGTTGCTTCATTGTTGGTCAAAGAATCACTTACCTGTATATCAGAAAAAATGATCACCCAAATAAATGTGAACAAAACAAGATGCTTTAAGAACAAGTCTGACAGCATTATTCTTTATGAGTTCTAGTAATTCAGTAGAAAGGATAATCATTTTACTAAGAAGACTGATCTAATTGCTCAAATGGGACCAATACAGTGCCCTTCAGGTTCTTGCAGACTACTAATGAAATAAAAACAAAACCTATCATGGAAAGCTTTGCAGATTGGATGTCTTCTTCCCTGGCATGGATAACACTAATAAAATGCCTCCTGTAGTGTTCTATAAGGTTTTGGCACTTTATAAAGGGGAATTATGATAATTCTTTAAGGCCAAATTACACTAGGTCCTTCAGACATTTGTTTCCACCTTCTTGAGCTCAAACAACATTCCATTGGATGGAGGTTGGGATTGAGATTACCTGTAGAGAACGTTTTGTGTGCAGGTAATCATTTTTTGTTGACTTGGATAAAAGATTTGATCTATATACTGAAATGTCTTACTTCAGCCAAGCTGAGATGCTTGGCAGAGGGAACCACATATTTTGCCAAAATGTCATGCTACGTGTTAAGAGTTTGTGATTCCCCCTCTCTAACAAAGGGGAACAGAAGTCCCAATTTCACAGACCAGTTATTAAATCTCGGTAACACAATAAATTAATTGACATTACAGAAAAAAACAGAAAATTTCAATTTAAACAAACCTGTTCCCACATATTGTGATGTGATGCAGCCCGTCCTGCTCACTAGTCACCATAATGACTAAGCACAAGTTGTGCAGCAGACATTTCACTTTAGAAATGTTCTAACATGATCTGCATGCAGAGTTAACACTTTTGTATTTTGTCGGCAAAACCATCTCGAAATCAAAAGCGATATTTCTATTGAATTAAGAGATGTATTCACAAGCCCTCTTCTTTACAATGAAGTAAGGCTGCTACACTTCACTGGAAGTTTTGTTACCTCGTGCAGATTTGCAGAACATACTCTAGTGCTGTGCATACCTGGCAATTTTGTCTATTTTGTATTGTTGGAGGTTTTACAAGTTTCTGTGTACATTTTACTTTTATTGTGGTTTGAAATGCACTCAATGCGGATTCTTTCTCACCCTGAAATGTAAAAATAGCATTGCAGATCCCCTTTAACAGGGTGTCTAAGACCCATAGTGCAAACACTCCCAAAACATAGTAGACCGCAGCCATATTTCAGTGATCAGATGAGTCTTCAATGATGGCATAGGGCTTTCTCAGGATCTGCTGGGCATTATGCTGTACCAGGGGTCTTATAGGCTCACCAGGGATTTTAGAGCCGCGATTTACAACATTTCAAGGGCGGTTCTTGTCTTTTTTTACTGAGTGAAGTGAACCAACAGATAAAAGAAAAGGTTAAAATACTTATTAAAAGAACTATAAAATGTAGAAAGAACTGCTTTAAATAAAATAAGAAAATTGAGACATTTTTGTCCGTGCATACAGAGAATAACAAAAGTATAAGAAGCATAAAGTTTTTCTGCTTGCACCAAGTTACTTTGAATAGGTTTCTGAAAATATAACTTTCTACACTTAACATTTTGTATAAAAATGTTCAAAATATGTCACAGAAAATTACACAAAAAGCTCATCACAATCTAACTTAATGACATTGAAAAGTGAAAAACGATTTCTGAAACTATTACTACTATTTAATATGTGAAACAAAAAACGTTGTCATCTCTCACCATGCTAGCACATGAAATTTATTTTATTTTGGAATATATTAGGTTAGAAACAATAATTAAAAATTATAAAGAAAACATGGAAATATATAGAAACTCTAGAATTGCCAATGGTCTAATACCAACAAACTTAAAGCCAAGGAAAAATTCTTATTCAATTTTGCCCTTCTATAACTCAATATGAATTAACAGCTACTTCTACACAATTTGGAAAAATATACATTTTCAGCTAAAAGTATTAAAAGTAATCAAGTACTGAAAAGTAATATTCAATTTTAAACTAAAGTGGCAATTTAGACTTTCAGGGTCATTATTCTAAATTTTGAGCACCAGATCTTTACTTAAAATAGCCAGAGGCCTGTTTTTGTTATTATTTAAGAAATTAGTCCCTTTGAATGTTTTTGAATGTCAGACAAAATGGAGATGTTAGCATGTTGACCTCTGGTCCACCTGTCATACAATGATCTAAAAACCTTTGTTGAGATTTATGGAACCCAGTTATATCAATGGTAAGGTGGGCAGAAAGCTAAACAAAAATCTGTGGGGTAAAATTACCTGTGTAACAGCTACATATAAAAAGCCAGATATGGAAGTTGCTGTGATTAATGCAGAGATCTGTCAGATACTTTTTAATCCAATTAAAAATACAGTGTACTTGTGAAGATGAAATCAGATGACATTTTCAAGAACAAATAGTGACAGTGGTTCTTCGTATTAAGTTTAAACAGAAAGGACACCAAACAAAAGACAATAGCTTAAAGGCCATTTTATTAAGAGATTATGCTATTACGCACATCTATAAATATAACACAGCTGACATAGCCAGACAGATAGCAATGGCCAGTTTACTTCGTGGACACCCTTGTCCTTTTGTTCCAGGAGAAGTTTGCACCATAGGATTTGGACCTTGGCTTTGGCCCCCTCTTCTCCTGAATATCATAGCTCCAGCCTACAAACAAAAATCAAAACATATATCCATAAACAAAAGATTGGAGCTTGCACAAGGCAACCAGAATTTAAATTTCACAACAATATATCAAACATGCATTCACACTACTAGATGGTAGATGACACAATTGATTTTTTGGTCTATCTCTGAAGTTGAGGGAAGGAGGACTGGGAGTGTTTTTGGTGGTGGGAGGAGTGTCTACAGTATGCTACATTAAAGTGAATCCTGTTAAGTTGTGATTAAATTGTTATAACAGACAAATCAGTATATTATTTTTTTTTCTTTAGATCTGTTCAACATAAGATCTTGAATGAAGATTAAAGATCTTAAATGACATTTATTCACCTTTTAAAAAAATGAAAAAATCTGAAACCCTAGAGCTAAAAGAGACTATGAAAAATATTTGGGTATTTATGTTGACATCATACATAACGTCAATGCGAGGAAGCAATTAAAATGTTAAACATTATTAGAATATATATAAGTAAAAGCACAGAATTCAATTCAAAATTCAAATTCAGGCGAGTATTTTAAAATTGTATGAAACACTAATAAGGTTTTAATTGGAATACTGTGCACAATTTTGGTAACAACATTCTTCAAAAGATATTGCCGCTTTGAAAACAGTCTAGCTAGTAGAAAACACATTCTGGGGCTAAACAGTATGTCCTACACTGACAGGCTGAAGAAGCTTAACATTTCTAGTCTCGAACAGAGACAATTACAAGGAGACATGATACAAATATATCAATTTCTCAAAGACATTGACAATGTCAACACAGTGGACATCTTCAAAATGATCACTGAAATACAAACCAGAGGGCACTAGTGACAACTTCATGGAAGTGCATTTTGAAATTAAGGACAGGAGGTACTAATTTACTCAAATGGTTGTGGGGAAAAAGAACTAAGCTCCACAATACTGTAGTTGGAACTGATACTCTAGCTTCTTTAAAGAGATGGGTGGATGAGATCGTTCGAATCAATTAACAAGTAACTAACAACTAAAGAAGTACCTCCTGTCCTCAATTTCAAAATGCATTTCCATGAAGTTGTCACTAGTGCCCTCTGGTTTGTATTTCAGTGATCTTGTTCAGAGTAGATTGCACTGACTTCCGGTCAACTTCTGTGTAGACTTTAAAATCCTCATACTCACCTATAAGGCTCTGCATGGCTTGGCACCTCAGTACCTGTCTGAACTATTATCGCCCTACTCCCCACCTCGCAACCTCTGCTCTTCTAATTCTGCTCTCCTTACTGTCCCCCAAGCCCGTCTACATTGTATGGGTGACAGGGCCTTCTCCTGTTATGACCCCAAGCTCTGTAACTCTCTCCCCAAGGATATCAGAGAGTCACCTTCTCTAAACTCCTTCAAATCCAGACTCAAAACAATCAACTGTTTGGTACATTGATAAGAAGCAAGAATACACTGGTGAGCTTAGCAATAGCTTAGGACATGGAAGACCACAATAGTGGATGACTAAAGAATACTTTCAACCGTGAAGAAAAACCCTTTTTCGACTGTTGAACAGATCAGGAACATTCTCCAGGATGTAGGCATAGACTACCATAAAGAGAAGAATACACCAGCATAATCTCAGAGGGTTCACCACTAGATGCAAAACACTGGTAAGAAAGGCCACAGAAAGGCCAGGTTCCAGTTTGCTAAAAAGTACATAAAAAAGCCTCTACAGTTCTGGGACAAAGCCTTATGGACAGATGAGACGAAGATTAACCTGTACCAGAGTGATGGAAAGAGAAAAGTATGGAGAAAAAGTGGAGCTGCTCATAATCCAAAGCATACCACCTCATCTGTGAAACATGGTGAAGGTAGTGTCATGGCTTGGACATGTATGGCTGCCAGTGTAACTGGCTCACTTGTCTTTATTGATGAAGTGACTGCAGACAGTAACAGCAGGATGACTTCTGAAATATCCAGAAGCCTCTTATCAGCTCAGATCCAACCAAATGCTTCACAATTCATTGGACGACGCTTCACCTTGCAGCAGGACAATGACCCCAAACATACTGCTAGTTTTTCAGGGCCAAAAAATGGAACGTTCTTGACTGGCCAAGTAATTTACCTGACCTGAATCCCATTGAGCATGCATTTCACTTACTGAAGACAAGACTGAAAGCAAAAAGCCCCCAAAACAAGCAGGAACTGAAAATGGCTGAATTACAGGCCTGGCAGAACATCACCAGGAAAGAAACCCAATGTCTCGTGATGTCTATGGGTCACAGACTTAAGGCAGTCATCAACTGCAAAGGATTTGCAAACATGACAAAATTTAATCTAAAATGATGTTAATGTGTCCAATTACTTTTGGTCCAATTAAATGGGGGGACTATGTATAAAAAGGGCTGTGATTCCTATATGGTTCACCCAATATAGACGTAAATACCCTCGAATTAAATCTGGCATTCTGCACTTTAACCTCATAGTCATTATTTTATTTCTAACCCAATGTTCTGGAGTTCAGAGCCAAAACAGCAAAAATTGTGTCACTGTCCGTGGACTGCACAGTAGGTTTTCTTGAATTAACGTTGGGATATAACTAAAAATTCCCCACACATATGTTATGGGGATTTGGCCAAAAATTGCTTGCATAATTCTCGACATATTTAATTTCATTTAGAAAAAGTCTTATGTCTCGTGTTTTGCGTAGCTGGTGTTGAATACAAGTGATGACGACTTTTATCATATTTTATTTTGGCATTTGTGTAATGAGTCCCAAGTGTAGTGAAAGTGACAGAACATAAAGAACCTGCAATAGGACTAACATTCAAGCACAATTTGTCCACTTTTGAAGATAAGATCATATAAACGACACAACTGGTTAAGATAATTGTGCTTAAAATGTCACTTAAAATGCTTAAAATTATGTTAAATGAGTGGTATGTCAAGATAAAAATGACAGATAGGTTAGGGCTAAAAAAGATTACATGTACATGCACAATAATGTACTGTATATGAATAGCAAAACACACACTTAATCGCTATTTCATTTATTCTTATGGGAAAAGGCTCCTTTTAAAGTCCCAATAAAAGTCACACTGACACTCTTATGGTCCCTAACCTGCCATATGTACTCTGTTCTTACAGGGAAAAACGTTCCTATGTATGTCGTTTCACAATAAGTCACGACTTTCTTGTCCGAACTCCAATGTATAACAGAGACCCCCTTTAAGCATTTGAATTGCAAGTTTATACAAGTTGCTATATAAATATAAAGTGGTTGTGTTGTCCCTTTTGAGCACATGGCCATGGTTTTGGCTAAATGAAAGGAAACCATTTCTGATAAATAATGATGTTTTAGATGATGTGCTGAAAATATGAGACCAAATTTACAAAAGTTAATAAATACCAGAGCTTTAGTGTTTAACACATACTTGAACTAAGTAGATTCAGAAATTTGATAAAAACCGAGTGTGCCAATTTTTTTTTCACCTCCCACCCCTAGAATTTCAATTTGCTTATATTTTTGGAACACCTGGACCAAATTCTTGAACTGCTTTTGTGCTATTGAGGAAGACTGTAGGTGCCTGTTTAATTGCATTTTTTACTGATGCATGGCAAGGCAAGAAAGTCACAATACCAACTGTAAGGTTTCTCATTCCTTATACATGTTTTAAGTTCTCCTATAAGGTGACGGACAGCTATGAACCCAAGCATGTATAAAGATTTCCTTTTATGGATCTTTTCTATTATCCAAAATAACCCCCCCCCCAAACGCACATTTAATATTCTATGCTCATCACTGTTTAATTGAAACTAATTTGTGCATATTCAGTTCCAGTTTGGATTGAGGATTTCAGCTCTCCATGAATGCAGGAATCTGCTCAAATACTATCAAAAGAGTCTACTCTTCTTCTACAGACCAGGGCTGAACTTTTCTTCTGTAAAACACCACCCTCTTGTGCAATGACTGAAGCAATGTGATCAATCCAATCATTTGGCCTTACTACAGACCCAGAACCATACAGGCTGATCAGCTAGAGTTTCCCAGGTTTGAGAAAACCACTTTGAAGCTTGCTGAGTGCCCATGCCCATGTGTGCCAGTAGTATTATTGTCTATAAATTGTACACTTCACCAAGTCATACTATTCTGGGCATGCTGATTCGTACGTAGGTTTTGTCTTTTACAGGTAGAAATAAATATTTTGTCACCAGGGGAACACATTTAATTTACAAAATGCCATTTGAGTCAGTAATTCCTAGCCGCAAAATGATAAGAATACTTTATATTGCCTATTTTTCAGTTACACAGGGTGGGGATATTCTGATAAACTGTGAGCTACTCTAATGCTTTTAACATATTCACAATAAAAACACAGTGTTTTATTAGCTTAAAGTGTTTTAAGCTTTTTTAAGGATATCAAATTTGGAGCTATAGGTTGACATAGTTCTGTACTGTAATTACTCAGTGAGACATTGACGTGGTTTGAAACTTTTATATATCTTTTCAGAAACAGTTTCTGCCCTACTTAGAAACCTCTTTACAAACTTCAAAAATCAAAATGATCTTGGTCATATTTACAAAAATGTGATGAAAATAACTATTGAATCAACCATTACACATTAACATTAAAGGACTGCTTCAATGTCTTCCCTGTTTGTTTTGTCACTTACCATTTTTTTCTGCAAAGGCAATTGCATCTTCTTTTGAACTGAAAGACAGGACCATGTTGGACAAAGGATCAGCCCTGAAACACACAACAAAGATCGAAATACACAGGAAATATAAAACTCAATAAATAAATGTCAATAAAAAGAGGCACAGGCAATAATTAAATAAAATGAGTGATATAAGAGAACATACTTCAAAATGTTTATTTATAAAAAAAGATGAATGCCAAACCACAGCAGCTCATAGGGCCAAAGCTGGTTTCTGTAGCATTAAGTGGACTAAAAGCATGCAACTCCCCTGTATAGACCAAGTAATGCTATATCACCCAGCAATGCTGGTTCCCACTTATACAGCTAGGAGGACTAGATAAACTAGAGTAAGATACAACAGCATTGTCTGCTAGGACTTGGACTGATACGTATCCAAGTCCAAAGGTTTATCTTCTACGTTGCGCCTATGTTTATGTAACTGAAAGAAAAAGAATTCCTGTTGATACAAATTCTCTATGAGATAAAACAAATATTTGGTTGTAAACAATGAAGTAAATAGGATTCAATTAAGGATAAAGAAACCCTTCACAACAGATATAAGTGCAAAATATGACTTTTTAAGCCTCACTACTCCTGTGGGTAAAGAAGAAAGAACCATACGTGGATGCCCAGCCCATCAAGGGGTTCTCCCAGCGTTCTCTGGTATCAAACTCCAGTCTCCACTTCCAAGTGTTATTTGCTCCTGACTGCATGGCATTGCGGGCAGGAACACAGATGCGCACTTTACGGGTTTTTATATGTTCCTCGGGTACACCAGTCAAGGGTGTAATGTCCTAAAAACAACATGATGACAGAAGAACAGTAACAAATGAGAGGACGTCTTTTATACCCATCTAGCTCAGTAGTTAGCAGATAACTGATCCATTTAATCAGAATCAGATGTATTTCTTCAGAAAAGTCAGGACATCCCATCAAAACCATTGCTGGGTGGGGTAGCTTTTCCCATACTCATAGTCAATTTTTTTAACACACTTCAACAGTTTCCACTTGTCCTCAAGTTCATGTTTCACTGTGAATTCTGCAGAAGCTTGCTAGGTTTCTTCCTTTGACAATTTTGAATTCTTGTATCAGGTCACCTCGTAATCACCTCTGTTTAGGAATAAAAAGGTTTAGCTCCTTCAGCTAATCATTGTTGTAGCATCCCCTTATGCTCTGTAATATATCTGGTTGACTTTGTTTGGCACCAATTCCAGAGCATCAATAGCTTTTTTTAATAACATGTTGACTATAATTGTACACAATAAATTAGGCCTTATAAATGCATTATACTATTTTAACATAACATATATTAATGTAAACAATATGCTTTTAATGATAATTAAGAAGGTGGCTTCATAAAGTGCTTTACAGAATGACAACAATAAAGAATACAACATATGCACAATGAGAGGAGACAGTGGATGGGGGGTACTGAATACAGTAGGAACAGGGGTGTAAAGAAGTTTAAAGAAGGTGACTCTCTGATATCCTTGAGGATAGAGATATCCTTTGGGGCATAACTGTAGAAGGAGAGATAGGAGACCAGAATTAGAGCAAAGGTTGCAAGGGTGGGGAGTAGGACAATAATAGCTCAGACAGGTACTCAGGTGCCAAGCCATGCAGAGCCATATAGGTGAGCATGAGGATTTTGAAGTCGACAGGAAGCCAGTTCAATGATTCCAGGATAGGAGTAATGTGATCACTTGCACTAGACCTGGTCAGAATTATGGTTGCTGAATTTTGGACATACTGGAGTTTGTTCAATGTGGATTTAGATACCGGTTGAGTAGAGCATTACAGTAGTCGATTCAGGAGAAGACAAATGTGTTGATCAGCTTTTCAGCCACAGTGAGTAATAACATTTTTGAGGTGAAAAAAAGATGTTTTGACAGTGTTGCAAATTTGGGTCAAATGTCAAGCCTGAATTAAATATCACCTCCAAGTTTTTCAATTTAGACTGAAGTTCAAGTACAGTACCATCCACAGAAAGGGTTACAGCATTGTTTTACAAAGTTGATGAGGGGTGCCAAAAAGCATGCCTTCAGTCTTGTCACAGTTTAGGTGAAGGAAATTTTGAGTCATCCATGTTTCAATGTCGGAGATGCAATCAGATAGAATAGAGACAGCCACATCAGTGTCAGGTTTGGTATAGATATCTATTTCAGTATTGTCAGCACAGAGATGATAGTTGATGCCATGTGATCTTAAAAGCTGACCAAGTGGAAACATGTAAATGCTGAAAAGTATTTATTCCACCAAGAGAGACAAAGTGACAGCGATCAGTGAGGTAAGACTTAAACCATTTGAGAGCAGTGTCAGAAGCTCCAGTCTCAAGAAGAGAAAGTAAGTAACGGTAAACAGAGTCGAAAGCAGCACTGAGATCAAGAAGATAAGGTTAGAAAGAGAACCAGAATCAGTAGCTATTAGAAGATCATTTGTGACTAATATTTTGTGTTTTTAGTTGTTTCCTTATATTCACTAGAAGGTCAACAACTTTTCCATAGGTAGCCACTTCTGTTATGGTGTTTCTCATTTTGAATTAATAGTTTATGTTCTTGTTATTTGTTCAATGCAAAACGATGAGGCTGGTATTTTGCTCACTGTACACAGCACTAAATCTCAGGCTTCTGGTGACCATGCTTTTTTGTCACTGCTTTCCTTTCCTCCGACTCTTCGAGAGACAAATTCTTTGTCTCTCTTCAAATCTAAGTCAAAACTCACGTTTTTACTAGGGCCCATGTTTGATTGCATTATTTCTATCATGTATGTTAATGTTTATTTTTTATTGCACTTTTGTTTGTGGTTTTCTTTATCACTATGTACTGCGTGCTTGAGTTTGAAAAGGCAATTTATAGATAAAAGTTATTACAAAGAGTCAGGTACTTTTCAAGGAGAGTTGCAAAAGCCAGACTGTTAGATTGTATTTTTGATTGGAAGAGATTATCAGGTGGCACACCAAAATCAGCAATTATAGGAGTGTCTTCAATTTCAAGATGAGTAATATGAGAGAAAGTGTCAAAAATGGAGGACCAGAAATGAACCTGCCTAGGACAAGACCAAAACATCTGTATGAGAATAGCAGGGGCTTGCACACATGTGTTGCATGTCAGATTAAAGTTAAGGTGAAAAAATCAATCCTAGATTTAATGTATACTGATGAAAAAAAAAGCAACAGCTCCTCCTCCATTCTCTGGCCCTCCTGTCTGTGTGGAACAGGCTGAAGAGTGACTCATCCGTAAAGAGGACCTGATGCCACTCCTGATGAGTCCATCACAGCCTCTGTCTGGCCCTGGTTTCAGCAGCAGTACGGGTGACAGATCTGAAATGATCGCTCAGATGGACCAGTCTGATGTGTCGGTCCTGCTCTGGTGTGATCACCCAAGGGCGACCAGATCTTGGACGGTCATCTGTCCTACCCTTCTGCTGAAACCTTCTCTGCAGTCAGAACACAGTGGAGTGCCTTACTCCATAGTGTGTGCAGAATACCAATGGCCCTCTCCCTTGCTCGTTGGGTAAAAGTGCACCTAATGAGCTTTTGTGTGACTGGCAAGTTGCAATGCCTCACTGCACAAGCTGTGGTGCTGGTCAGAGAGCTCAAAACAAACTGACAGCTTTTTGTGAAAATACATAAGCTATAACTATAGTATTCTAATTCCATAAAATGTTGAGTTTTTTTTCTCATCAGTATATATAAGTAGTGTATAATGTTAATTTGTATGAGACGGTGTCTGTAGAAATCGGGGATGAATGAACCGAACTAAAATGGATTCTCACTGGCCCATTTGTATAACTATGTTCAGGTCTTGTTCCCACAAAGCTTTTGATACGCATAATTATAGACAATGTAGTAAAAGCAGAAATTAATAAACCTAAGATATTAAATGTTTGTCATCAGGTGACAGTTTCAATTTTGGGGGGGGAGGTAAAGTGAACTGGGTACGCTGGGTGCGTATGAAGTGCCTGATTTGTAAATATTGTGGTAAATAATATTTATTTCTAAGTTGTTCAAATGACATAAAAATGTTTTCAAACATACACTGTCACAACCCTATTTCTATACCAATTAAGGAATAGTCATTGAGGAAAGTGAGGAACAAATGATTGGTATTAACATGGAAATTCAAGGACAGTGACATAAAGCCAAACTGCTTCCTGAATTGGATTGAAGTACGAAGGTATGTTGCACTATTGGGTTCTGAATGAACTGAGAAATATTCAGGGGTAAAGAGGGGCACAGCAAGGCCAGAAAGGACGGAGATTTAATTGAAGTTTTAAGCCAGGTCAGATCTGGCTCTAGCTTTGTAACTTTACCTACTGATACTTTAAACCACAAAATGCCATCCTTATTCAATCAAGAATAAATTAAAAATACAACCACCAGTCTTAGCTTTGTCTGATGCCAACAAAAATAAGTTAATTTTATAGTGTGCTAAAAGAAAGCTTTACTTATTAAGTCTTCACATTTTTAAAATCTTGGTTAGAGTAGCCTTCCATTGTTTTTTTAGACTCAAACCAAAAATTATTAGAGAAAAGCAAACATAAATGAGATACATACATACTGTAAGCCCAAAAATGCAAGTAAAATATAGGCATTACAAAAGCTTATAGAGACACTTTATAAATAGACTGAACACACCTTATTTAAAAGTTTCCAAGTAACATTTTAAAGTTTTTGATACTGGCATTCTCATTCATTTTACAGTGGAATCCACTAGATTAACACTGGATCCACTGTGCAAATTAATCAGTTTTGTGCCTGTAACACGTCAGGACTTTTAAGGAAAAAGAAACTCCCCTTGTGCACATGTAGTAGATTTGTAAATTTGTAAGAATTTGTAAGAGGCAAACAGTGTATGTTCATGAAGAAACATTAGCAAGGTGACTGTTTATTAACAACTGCTTATACACACTGTCTTGCACCTTTAAAATATACAAGAACTTAAAGGTTTTTAACAAGAGGAGGAGGCCATTCAACCCAACTAACTTGTTTGTTAGTTACTAATTAATACTATCCTTCACTGTACTCCTTTAACTGGATCCTTTTATTTTTTTTTAACATTTGTTCGGTGATCAGGCACAATCCGTGTGGGTGCCACCCATTCTATATCTATCCTTCTTTTACTTCTCTTCCTTCAGTCTGCTTCCAGAAATTATACATTTTTTGCCAAGGACCCAACCTGTACAATTACAAAACATATTTCAAAACACACTATATTTTGATCACAGATCCATTATACAAAAAACACATGAAAGTGGCATTCTCACACCATGTAAAGAAACTGATGCAAAGAAACGGATTTGTCTGAATCTATTTCTTTTGTACTAGTTTGTTCCTGAGGAAAGTTTATATTACCTGCATTCCACTTTAGAAACAAACTTATAAAGCTCCATTTACACAAAGATTTCTTTTGTACTTGGAATTTTTTTAGAGGTAAACCTACCATTGATGACCTGATTTAACCCTCCATCTACTTGATATTACATGCATGGCTAACTGCTTAATCAGAGGACATTTAACATTCTTTCAGCTTTCATTGCCATAGATTTAAAGGCTCATCAAAGTAAGATTTACTGAAGCATGCAGACTCATTTGGGTGCATTGTGTATACTTCCGCCATGTAGATCTATTCCCACTGGCCTCCTTTATACTATAGTGAGTGAGAAGATAGTTCTTTTTAATTGTAAAAAAGAGAAAAAAACATGAAACAAAGTATGCACAATGACCCCTTTCTTTCTGTGATCTGGTTTCAAAGATGTCAGTTATTGGTGTATGTTATAGAAAATATGACAACCA